ACACACACACACACATATACATGCACACGTGGACACGGACACACACACACTCATATGCAAATCATATATACGTCATATGTAAACAAACTCAGGTACAAAGTCCTTTTCATTTATTTTTGGTATCGGTTCATCCAACTTTTTACTGCTACTTTTTATTGACTCCTTCCTGTTTCTGTGCGCGTCTTTTTTTCTTCTTTTCTGAAGGACCGCAACAATGCGAGGCAGATTCACGAGGGTGCAAGCTTACCTTTCTTTGAAGTCTTTGTTGATGCTCCTCTGCATGTCTGTGAACAGAGAGATGTCAAGGGACTCTACAAGAAAGCACGCGCGGGAGAAATAAAAGGCAAGCAGCATTTTCTTCGCAGTTTCTCTCTGTCTAGAGAGTTCATGCTTTTGTGTATGGGTCTGATGCCCTCCCCCGCTTTTACATTAAATTGTATTTGTCTGTCTGTCTGTCTTTCGTGTCAGTGCAGTTGCCTGGGGAGATCTGAGGCATTGGACCCTCTGGAACTGGAGTTGCAGGCAGTTGAGAGCCATCTGACATAGGGGCTAGGAGGCAGACTCCAGTTCCCTACACAATCATTATGTGCTCTTAGTCACTGAGCCATCTCCAGCCCGCAGGACTGATACTCTTGTCTAAGAAATTGGGAGTGAGTGGTGACTTGGGGCTGGATGAGGAGAGTAAGTGGTTCTTATACTGTTCCTGCTCCCAGACTTAGCAGCAGTGCCTGGGACTGTGCCCCAGTGACCTTTGCTGACTGTGTTGGAAACCTGCTCACAGGACAGAGCTGGGGCTTTGAGAGGTGGCGCTGAAACCCCCTTCATATAATTAGGTGTCTAGAATTAGGTTGCTAGCCATCACTACCTCTAGTCTTCGTTGGAGCCTGACCGTGAAGGATGTCCCATAACTATTGGGGAAGATGCCTGAAGTAGAAACATTTTGGTAGAAGGAGAATGTCCTTGTTTTAAGACTGTTGAATTTGAATTAACATATCCGGCGCCGTGAAAACATCCACACCTTGCCTAGGGTTTAAGGACTGCTCACAGTTTTCAGTGTGCCACACCTTAGGCACCGAAAGGGAACGACAGAGCCTGCCTGCTGTTGAGTTTCATCCCAGTTGTGTTCATTCTGTTGGCATTCCTGGGAACAGGACATATTGCATTAATGAGTCATCGAAGGTAGGTTATAGAATATTCTTTAGGGATGATTCATGCAGGTAACTTGTTTGCCTTCCCAACAAGGTACGATAGCTTGGGATCATTGCAGGAGCTCTGAATTCTAGATTTGGGCATTCAGTTTTTGACGCAGGAAAAGGAAAAGGAAATTGGGAAGGAGAATATTTGTTACCCATTTTCATCTATATTTGGGTCTGGGAATAAGCCCCCTCAGCAAACTCTGCCCTGGAGACGTCTGGTCTTGTGAACCAAGCTCGTGCGGAATCTCGCTGCCTTGGGGCCCCGCTCATTGGTGAGGCCTCTCATACCTCTTGTCCCCTAAGCAAGCACCTTCTTGACTCAGACAGGCTGCTGCTTGGAGTGATTGGCAGTAGGCAGGACAGCAGATTAGTTATTTCACATTTTCATGCCTGTTTTTGAGTGTTTTTTTTTTTTAAAAAAAAGAAAACAAGCTATACTTTTTCATTTTAAATACCAATCCCAATTCCCACTCCCTCCACTCCTTCCATTCCCTCCACTTACCCTTCTCCACACCACCCCATCTGCTCCTCAGAGAGGGTGAGGCACATTGCTTTGGCGAAGGTCCAAGGCCCTCCCTACTGTATCTAGGCTGAGCAAGGTATTCATCCAAAGAGAATGGGTTCCAAAAAGCCAGTACAAGCAGTAGGGATAAATCCTAATGCCACTGCCAGTGATCCCACAGTCTGCCCCAGCCATACAACTGTCACCCACATTTAGAGGGATTAGTTTGAACCTATGCTGGTTCCCTCCCTGTCTGGCTGGAGTTGGTGAGCTCCCATTCGCTCAGGTAAACTGTTTCAGTGGGTATCCCCATCATGGTCTTGTCCACTTTGCTCATATTCACACTCTGAGTGATGTTTAAGATGGCCCCCGTGTTGAAAATGCTGTGTATTATTGCTATTTTTTTATTACACTTATTTATCATCAGGCATGTGTGTGTAGGCCAGAGGACTGTAGGAGTTGACTCTGTCCTTCCACTACATGGGTCCCGGCTTTGAGCTCAGGTTACTAGGCTTGGTGGCGAGCTCCTTTACGCATCGAGCCATCTTCCTGGCCCTGTAGTGTCTGAGAGCAGTGATGCTGGGTTAGGTCCCAGAGGGGAGGCTCACGTTAGTGTCATTTTCGCTGAGCTGTGCTGTGGCTGTGAGGTCGGTGTAAAGGAATCAATGCGTTTGATGAGGTGTCTTTAGACAGAAATGCGCATGACACCCGAGGCTGGCAGGAGCCTGACCTTGCATTTTACCCAGGAGATACGATTCAGTAGTTGTGACAACTTCATTGAACATAGGTACAGTAAACAATGGGAACTGACTGTATGTGTTAGGAGAAGTCAAGTTTAATTAGAAGTCTTCCAAGAACGAGCACTCAGTTACCATGATGCCTTGCCAGGGCAGCGTGAGCCTTAGCTTCAGCGTAGACGGGTGCGGATGGAATAACCCTCTATGTTTCTCCTCCCTCTGTGGTCCGCTGTCCTTTAAAGGCTTCACGGGGATCGATTCTGAGTATGAGAAACCGGAGGCCCCAGAGCTGGTGTTGAAAACGGACTCCTGTGACGTCAATGACTGCGTCCAGCAAGTCGTGGAGCTTCTCCAGGAACGGGTGAGGGGAAGCCGGCGGAGAGAAGAGGAGAAAACTGCCTGATAACGTGGCTTCTAAAAATTGACCTGATTGCGTAGCCTGTTTTTCAGATTCTTCATAAAAGCCAGGAACTTCCTGTATGCTACTATTTTTAGCATTGTGGGGCATACACAATGCATGAAATACCCCAGTTCTTGCAAATGTCAGAAAGGTTGGGTCTTAAATTTTCTCATTAATTTTACCACACCAGTTACAGTGGAAATCTCACAAATATTCTACTGTTTGACTTAGTGTTAGACTTTAAGTTGAGGCACACAGACTTGTTAAATTTCCTTAGACATTTGACTCCTGCTTCAACTTTGTGAGGCACTCACAGCTAGGTTTTGGAGGAGGGTCCTATGGAGGGAGACGTCCTGAACTCAAGTACCTCCTCTCTCTGGCTCCTGGCATATGGAAGCAGAAGATGTGATGGGACTGAATAACAGATACATGGGTCCTTTGGATTTTATTCTGGCTTTAGACATATTTTCTTCCCCCTCTAAACTACCCATTACGTCTTTCACTCACTGTCTGTTTTATCTGGAGAGGATTCGGCCTCTGTGTGGGTGATGGACGTTGCGTGCTGGCTAGTGTTCAACAGCTTGCCCGTGTCCCTACCTGTGCTGGCCACTTCTGTGTGCGAAGCAGGTGTGGGTGTGTCAGCACCCCCACTCTCTTCTCAGAATTCTGACCAGAACCCCCTTCCATCTCCAGTCTCTCATAGCTTTATTTCCTCTGCCTAAATGTATTATATGTGTTTCAACTTCCAAGTTTTCTGTATTATGATATCTCTCCCATGTAGTTAGCATACGGCTTTCCTTCTGAATTTATGTTTCTTATTCAAGTGTTTTCTCTGAATAAGTAGAAATAATAGGAAATAGTGACTTCACTGTTGTGACATCTTATGTATACATGTTTTGTATACACGTGTGTGCACTGATGCCCTGACCAGTACCTCAGGCCAGTGGCATTATCTTAGGAGGGTTTTTACTTCATCTTCAGTCCCTTGGTTTCCTATTAACTAATGTCTATTCCTCTGCCTTTGCCGTCCTTCTCGTCTCTCCAAAGTGGTCCCAGCAGTCATTTCTCATCTCTACCAACCCTCTTAAAACCCCATTACTGTAGTTAGTAACAAACGCAGGCACTAGCAGTGCAGAGGTTAATCAGGGATGGCTCCATCCCTGGGGATTTGCATTGTAGGTCAGAGAAGAAGAGCGAGGAGCTCGTGGCTCCTGGGAAATGTGCTAGAAGCTGTGATTCAGTGGTGCGCGGTGTGTCTGGAGGGAGGCAGAGAGCAGTGTTTGGAAGGTTCGTCTTTGAGAGTCTTCACCTGCCTGGTCCTCTTTAGAAGGCATTTTGGCCAGGTGAATTTCTCTCTCACAGTCCTGTAGAGTCCTGTAGCTGGTCCTTCCCTCTACAGTCATTCCATTTGTCTGCGCCAGGCTCTTGCTGTGTTGCCCTGGCTGGCCTAGAACTGACTGTGTAGACCAGGCTAGCCTCCAACTTGCCTCTGGCTTCCCCGTGCTGAGATTATAGGTGGGTGTGTGCCATCCCATCTAGCACTTCACTGATTTGTGAAAATTTATGGCCACTGCATTGTTTTAAAACGGATCTTCATTTTAACTGACAAGAGCAGCTTACATATGTGTAGCTGTTGTGGCTTCAGTGTATGTGTCCGGCGTGTGAGCATCAGTCTCGCATTTTCTCGTGTTTCTTTTGCTCTTCTCCAGGGGGGACTCCAGTTAGCCATATGTTAAACAGTGAGGTATTGTTCCACAGATGCCCCCGTTATTTCAGTCAATAAATAGAATTAATTTATTTTTAATTGTATTCAATATATTGAAAAGCTTATAAAGGTTTTTTTTTTTAAATTTTGGGACAGGGTCTCTATTTCTGGCTGTCCTGGTGCTCCCTGTGTAGGTCGGGCTTGCCTCAAACTCCCAGACATCTGCCTCCTTCCTGAGTACTGGGTTTAAAGGTATGCATAACCATGCCTTGCCCAAGCTTTTAAACTGTAATAATCATTAACTAACAGTTTTGGGGTTGGAGAGTTGGCTTGGTGGTTAAGAACATTGATTGTTCTTCTAGAACTCCTTGGTTTAACTCCCAGCACCCACACAGAGGTCCACAGCCGCTTGTAACTTCAGAGCCAGGGAGGATGATGCCCTTTTTCTGGCCCCCAAGGGTACCATGCACAGACATCATACACAGATATATATGCTGGGCAAAACACTCATACACATAAAAACAAACAAACAAAGAAAACAAAACCAGAACCAAAACCAATTTTGTCATCACTTGGCTTTCTTCCCCCATCATGTACACCTCTGCTGGAGTTCTCCAGGGATTCCTGCGTGCTGACCACATCCCACCCGATCGTGGGGATTGGTTGTCTTGCTGTTAGACATTTAAGGTCCTGATTGGTGGTTGAACTCTGGTGCTTTCTGGATCTAGCTCTGATGGCGTTGACTCTTGATTGTGGGTGGTTTTCTCCCCCTTTTGGTTGTCTCAGAACTTTATTAAGTGCTGGATATTGGATCTGAGCACATAACAAAGATTGAGATAGTGGTTTTCCCCTAATTAATTAATTTGTTTATTTATTTTGTGTATATGTATGGGTAGGTGTGTGCCGTGGAGCACTGTGGAGGTCAGAAGACAGCTTACTGTATTTGGGTCTCTCCTCTTATGTGGGTTCTGAGGATTGAACTCAAGTTGTCAGCATTGATGGTGAGCACCTTAATCTGCTGAGCCATCTCACTGGCCTGAGATAATGTTTTTTCATTTGTATTTCAGGCTGGCATTAATACATAACTGGGGATGACCTTGAACTTCTTAATTAATACATAACTGGGGATAATACATACCTTAATTAATACATAACCTTGAACTTCTTGATGTTCCTCTGCCTCTCGAGCCCTGAGTGTTCGGTTGTGCACCACCACCAAACCTGGGTTATGTGGTCCTGGGATTGAACCCTGGGCTCTGTGCGTGATAGTCAATCATTTATCCGAAAGAGCTGCATCATCAAGCTGTCTCCTGTCCCCACCCTCTTGTCCAACCTTTGGTCCAGGGTACCTATGAGTGTGGCTCAAAATAAAATTAACCTTAGTAAAACATTCTGAATTTTTTTTTGGATTCATTATTGTTATTGTTAATATTTTGTCTCATCATTTGGTTGTGTGGTCCTCAAAGGTGGACTGTGTAGGTAACGTGGGAATGTTGAAAGGCTGGACATTCTTATGTTGTAGATGTATCGTGATGTGTCTGTCATGCTGTTGGCGTAGTGTTGAATTTGGTCGGCAGTCATCTGTATTGTACCACAGGCTCCAGTTTCTCCAGGGTCAGCGATTCTTCATGCTCAGTATAGGGCGTGGTTACATTTGTCTACATCGAACTTCCTTTGTTTTACTTGAATTTTGCCAGATGAAAGTTAAAGGGTTGTATGTAGTCTAATTTCATGATTTTTATCTGTGTAATCAGCAGTCCTTAAGCATTTTGCAGAATCCTACAACTGCAGAGGTATGTTGTATGTTGTAATACTAAAGTCAGCCACGTAGGGGCCGTTCAGCTGGGTGTGTGCTGACTACTGCTGGCATCACCTTCTTTTCTCCTTTCTTTGATTTCCTCATCATTTCTTTGGGGCACTATTTAGAAAAAGCATTCTTCGATTTCATGCTTTGCCTACGTAAATCCGCCCATGACTCTGCTGTCTCTGATTTCCCCCCCCCTTAACGCTTTGTGCTTGTTGGTGATTTGTGTTGTTCCTTACTTGTTTATTCTGTGATGATCAGCCTTGCCTCAAACTCCCAGACATCTGCCTTCTTCTTGAGTGCTGGGTTTAAAGGTATGCATTACCATGCCTTGTCCAAGCTTAGTTCCTCTCTAAGCCTAGGACTGGCAGAGTCCCACGCCCCCGTCAGCCAAATCCTGCCTGTTCTGTTGTCCACTAATGTCCTTTCTACCCAGCATCCCACACACGAGCATGCATTCTGCACAGGACTGCTTGGGGCTGCACCGTCTCTCTGTAGGATGAACACAGACTTGCAGGACCCGTGAAGCACGCGATGGACATGTTTTCCCCACTGGTCAGAGGACAGGGCCAGTGCCACTCTGTGACTTTGTGACCACGCCTGCGTTCTGTGCCTTTTATTTCATGATTGGTCATTCACAGAATCATCTCTCTGAAGTTTGATCTAAGTATTTTCTTTTTTATTACTGATTGTCCTTTTATTTTCTCACAGAATTAAGGTGATTTGTGTTGAGAATTGTGCCTAGTTTGGTTCTAAGATGCTTACCTTTGTAGGTATTGCCATGTATTCTGCCATAGCGTGTATGCCTTCGCTCCCTCCCATTCCTCCTTTGGCCTTCACTTGCCATTTATCTTAATCTCTGTAGTCTTAGTTAATGCCTCCCTCCTAATTTATTACATCTTAAATTAGAGGTTGAATTAATTGCCCTTTTTATCTTATACTTGCCAGACAATGTGATAATTGGACACTTTCATCACCCAGTGTCTCGAAAAGAGGCCTAGGGATATAGTACTCCTCGTCCTTTGCTATTCGCTGAGTTACAGTGATTCTTTCTGACCTTTAGAAACTGGGGCAGTGGCTCATGTTTCCTTCCCAGTTTATCTTCTAATACCCTCTTCTTTGTCTGCTTTTAAATTAAAGATTTATTTATTTTTCTTTTATGTGTATGGGTGTGAGCACTTCACACATGTCTGGACTATATGTGTGCAATGCTCTTGGAAGCTCGAATCCCCTGGAATTAGAGTTATAGACAGTTGTTAGCTGCCATGTGAGTGCTGGGATTCAAACCCAGGTCCTGAAAGAACAGTCAGTGTTCTTAACCATTGAATCTTGGTGCTCCCCACCCCGTTTCTGTGGCATTCCTAAGAGGTCTTTGCTCTCGGTTCTTCCTGCGTGTTGTCTCATTTCACACATGAAAAGCCTTGGAAGTATTTCAGAGCAATTAGATTTGCT